AGTATATTATCTGGAGATGAAAAGTGCTATGACAGCAAATAAAGTAGGTAAAGAGCTCAGGAGTGATAGGGGTGGGGCCATTCTTAGATAGGGTGATTGGGTCAGGGAAGACATCCCTGATGAGAAAACATTTGAGCAGAAATATGAATGAAGTGAGGGGGCAAGCTCTGCATCTATCCTGGGGAAAAGCTTTTTAGATAAGAGTAAGTGCAAAGGCCCTGAGGTAGAGTGGACTTGGCATGCTCCAGGGACAGCAAAGAGGCCACTGTGTATGATGCAGAAGAGCCAGAAGAAGACTAGCTGGAGATGATGCCAGAGGGATAGCCAGCAGGTTTATAGTTTAGAAGAAATTGGAAGACATTTATAGGGTTTTCTGTAGAGAGAGGACATGACCTGGCCTTGACCTAAAAGATCATTCTGTTTGCTAAGAGGAAGGGAGTACAAGGGTGGAAGCATAGAGACCCGGTAGATAGGCTAAAAGAGGAGTGATGGTAACTTGGACTACATAATGGCTATAAATGGAATCTAGGTACATATTCAAAATAAACCAGACAGAAATTATTGATTCAATTGTGGGATGTGAGAGAAAGAGGCATCAAAGGAAATTCTGCATTGTTGTCTGAACAGCTGAATGAAGGAGATTCCACTTATTGATACAGGGAATGCTGTAGGAGGAGCAGATATCAGGAGGAGCTCAGGTGTTTGTGTGTGGATATCATAAATTTCTTATGCCTGTCAGACATCTAAGTGGAAAAGTTGAGTAGGCGATGAAACATGGGAATCTAAACTTCAGGAGAGTGATCCAGACTTGAGATAGAAATCTGTGTGTCAGCAACATAAAGAATCTGGGAACATGGGTGGAGAAAAGAACAGGTCTGAGGATTGAGACTTGGAGCACTCTAACATCTAGAGGTCAAAAGATAAAGAAAATGAAGATCCGGCCAAGGTGGCTGAGAAACAGCAGCCAGTGAGAGAGGAGGGGATAGGGGAGTGTAGCATCCTGGGGCCAAGGCAAAGAAAATGTTTTGAGAAGCCGGAGTAATTGGTTGTGTCAACTCTGCTGATGGGTCATCTCATACATGAGATGAGAACACATTATTGACTTTTAAATTTGGTATCTTTAACAGAGAAGAGTGGTATTGATGAACCCTGGCTGGCATGGATGAAAGAGAAAGAGAGGGAGGAGAAGAAGGGGAGGTACTCTTTAGAGGAGCTTTGCTGTGAAACAGAAAATGGAGGAATGGGTAGAGGGTTATGGGGGAAATTAGAGTTCATTGGTGAGAATAATCCTGTCAGAGGGGAAGCTGTTGATATAAAGAGAGAGGGAATAACTTATAGAATGAAGTTCTTGAGTCAGAGAGTGGGCCTTATTTAAGGGGTAGGGCCAATTCATCCCTAGCAACAGGAGGAAAGTTATGGTGGGGATGTGCAGGGAGGCTGGATCGTAGTGTTGGGAAGTGCAGGGAGTCCTTGTCTGAGCGATTCTATTTTCTCAGTGGACTAAGAAGCAAGATCATCAGCTGATGGTGGCAGGGGGAAGAGTATGGGAGTTGGAGGAGGGAGAAAACATGTGGACTAGTGAAAGGCAATGAACAGGACTGTTGGAGAGCACAGAGGAGATTTGAGGGTTACTGATTATTATAGTCTTTATGGGCATGCCACTGCCAAGAAAAGTTATTTTTCATTGCACAAAAACTTACACAAGTTTTGAAAAATAATCCGTGTATTCCAAACTAGAGAGTGCTGTAATTT